GGTGATGCGGTTGGGGCGGGTGGGCCTCCCAGGAGGCTTTTCTTTTCACTTTCGGGGTTCGTTGAACGAGGAACACCACCTCGTACTCCGCGACGCGCGCGCGCGGGGCGCGGGGCCGCGTTCAATTTTTACACATCATGTGGCACGCAGAGCGTTTGAACGCGGCCCCGCGGGGTAAGAATGCGCGCGTTTCGACGCGAACGCGTGTTCGACGCGTTCAACCGGTTGCACGGCCCTTGATCCTCTGGGTATCCATATGGCTACTCCCATGCTTCCTGGTTTGGGTGCACTGTGGCGCTCAACCTCACGCCTGGCGCGACTTCCTGATCGGAGTGGGATGTGGGCCTGGAACTGCGAAAAGGGGTGTGCCAAGGATTTTTGGGAAATTGGGGGTGGAGTCCCAGATCAGAATTGAGATCTGATGTGGCAAGGTTCCAGGGGCATAGGTGCAATGAGGCTAAGGAATGGGGTACTTTTGGTCTGATGGCAGTCGAGGTCGTGCAGCATAAGACAGATGGCATGCGCGGTGCATCTTCGGCCGTTTGATCCGAACGTTCCAGTGACAGCGGTTCAGGAGAGGTCCGTTCGTGAGGGTTGCGATTCCTATGGGTCGGACCTCCGAGTGTAGACACGTGGCGATTGTCGTGGCGCGTGATGGTTAGGCCCTGTAATTCCAGGGGTTCGGCGGTTGTCGCTCCGTCTGCAATTTCTGCACGGCGTGTGGGGCCAATACACGGCTATGGAATTCCACAGTAGCACCGTGAGTTGGTGGTATGGGAGGAGGAGATGGAAGGGAGGGAAATTGGTAGCGATAACGACGAAGCCCGGGGATATTAAATATTGCATGTTATAAGTAGACAGGTAGTCGGGGCCCCTCGGGTCGTTGGTTATGGCGCGGTGAAAGTCCCTGACACACAGTCGGTCGTTCTCAGTTAGATAGGGGAATTTTGGATTTCTCAAATTCCCCCGTAGCCTAAGCTGTTCTCCCCCTGTATTCTCGGTACTCTGGGTCCCGCAATCTCTCTCGGTGCGCGATGTACGACATCTTGTCATTCCGACGTATCGCTAGCTGTAGTGTGGTGGGAACCCTCCGCACGCATCGGATCGTGCTTCGATTGACAAGGGAATTTCCGGGTATAGTGGCGGAAATTCCTACTGGCTCAAATTCTCGCAAGAGGGAAGATTCCACACTTATCCCAATACTGGAGGTGCCAAGTTCATTAGTGATTGCGAATCGCCCGCTTGTGGACACGTGTAGGCCGTGTTGATCAGATCGCGCTTACACGTGCGCACACGAGGGGTTCGATCGTACATTGGCCTGTTGGCTGAATTTCGTGCAAAAGTGCGGTTTCAGTCCTTTGTGCAAAATCACCACGTGGTATAGGTAGCCACCCAATCATCTAATCATTCAGTGATCCCACAACCCAACAACATCCCTGGATTATGTAGAGTGACATCGCATCATGGCCTACTCATACCTCAGATACTGTAAGGACGAGCAAAAAGAAAAACAACGAGTTAATAACTTATATCATTCAACCATCCCTTGGACAGAATCCATCCATTCATCATACACAAAAAAGAAAGAGAAAGGATTGAAAAACGAGAAAAGCGTAAGTCAATGGCGGAAGCCAAAAAAGATGTCAAATCGAAAAATAAGGGCGGATCGCCCGAAGCTGAGATCAAAACTTATATATAAGATTGAGAAAATTTAAGACAAAGAAAATTGCAATCCCACGTCCATCCATCTCAACTCTCTCTCTCTCTCTCTCTCTCTCTCTCTCTCTCTCTCTCTCTCTCTC